TACCCGCAAACAACTTCCATGGGCCAATACGCGGGAACCAACCATGTTCGGGGCTGGGTTTGAACTCATTAATACCCATGTAAATTGGGAACATCTCTTAAAATTTCAGTCTTTTAGTTTTTCAGGTTTTCGAGTTACCAAATCACCCGAAAAAAATTTCACGGGCCTGTACGTGGGAACCACGCTTACTCGAGAACTGGGTTTGAGTTCATTTATGCCAGTTGGGACAGGAAGCATTCCCTCAAAATGCCGGTCTTCTAGCTTCTCAGGTTCACGAGTTAACAGCTTGCCTATAAAAAACTTTGGCGGGTCCATACGTGGGTATCGCGCGGTAAGAGCGCCCATTTCGGGGTTTGAGGCCTGCGCATGCATTTAGATCAAGTTCCTAAAGTTTCAGATCTGTAGCTTTTATAGGTTTTGAGATGAAAAATCGGTACAGACGCACACACTGACGCACAGACACACAGACACAGAAAACCCCTCGTCAATATGCGTTTTCTGCATTGCACAGATGCAAAAAACGCATAACAAAAGTGATGCGAGCAAACCGATAACGAGGGTGCAAGCAGTACAGGCGAATTCGATGATGCACGATACATCAATCATTTCGTTTGTGGGCCATTTCTGGTTCGGTTTCGCAAATTGATAGCCTATACCCAAGACGTAGTACAGCGCCTTGATTGAATTAAGCAGCAGCAGCAAATTAAGCAGACGCCTAAATTGCTTGATATTTGTTAAGTTTTCTTTTCGGGAGCATTTGGTACAACTTTCGCGACGGGAGGGAACCCAACTCTCCTTATTTCCACTCACTTTCTTTTCTCAGCAACTTGGAACTCAGAGAAAAATATCATTATTATATGGGAATGGGCCAGTTTCACAGTCGGTTCTGGCCGAAACAACATCTGATTTGCTAATATAAGTTATTCATCCTGCTCTTTTTCTTACGCTTACTCCTCAGTTATCTGTACCGTTTGGATCAAGCAAGTATAACTGTCCGTTAGAACATTACAAGTATTTTTAAAAATAGTTTTTGATGTAAAAATAGCGATTTATTTCACTCCTCGCCGTGAATGCTAAAGCGCTAGCTTAGTAATCAAGAAAGGGTTGCTTACCTGAAATTTGGATGAAAACTTTTCATTGTGTTCAAATAATACAAACACAGAAATCCCGACGGTATTGCAGTGAACATTACAACCATTGCAGCGATAGACAAGGAGAGCATAAAACGGATTAATGGCATAGTTTTT